CCGTGCAACAAGAAGCTTTGAACCTGGTCATACACTTGTCCCGGAGTTTTGCGGTCGGCTTTGTGCGCGTATTTGAACGCGACAGCCCATAATCTTCGTGTGGTTTTTACTCACACACTAAAAACGCATACGCCCAGGTTGCTTTGGAAGAATCAAGTCAGTTTACAAGAGACCTGCAGATCCGAGGTCTTTGAATTGTGAAAGATTGGTAGTGGTGGGTTCAAAATTACCCAATACGTCTCGATGCCCAGTCGACGTGATAACCGCTGCCACAATCAGGAAGTATAGTAATCAAAGTAAACACGAATTACGGATCACGAATCACAGTAGCAATTTAAACACAGAATCACACTAACAATCGTACACTGGAATCTTCTGTCACCGAGACACAGGAAAAAACAACCAGTGGTAGCGGTTCCTCTGTTGAAAGATATCACTGGTATTAAATATTGTGCAAAGAGAAATATCATTGATCAAAGGAATATTAGTCAATCACCGTTCTGGTTCTTCAAATCACACGTCTTCTGTTTTAACTGCATAGCTATTGGTTGATCGATACTGTTAGTCCACGACCCAATGTCCGGATACTGGAACGTGTAGCTGGCGTTATCTGAGAGAGTTGACTCACCACAGTGTGGGTGTGCGGTTTGTATTTTTTTTCTGGATTGATTTGCGATCAGTGTTTAGTCAACTAGCCTAGGTGAACTACCGGGGTTAAAGACCCGGATTTTGGCTCTTCGTCGTCTCACTCAGGAGGGAGGGTGGTAGAGTCACCTCCGTAACGAGAACACGGTGAGTAGGGCTGCCTCAGTAAGGATCATTTGAGAGACTTGATTGTACGGGGGCATTTCGCAAGGGAAAATAGCTTGACGCAAGCCAATACACCCCGTTTCCCCGGCTTTCATAGGCAACTTAGAGGCAAAAAAGATGGGCAGCTTCTGTTTTTGTACATACTGATCTGTTTCTGTTTACAAAAGTTTGTAATAACTAACCTCGTAATCAACTCACTTGAAAACTGAAATGAAAATAAAAGAAAATTCTGTTCTGAGGTGGTTCGAAAAAAAATTAATGATAAAACGGGTGCATTGAGAGCAAAAACAAACTTCACCTATTCAATGCAAGTTTTACTTGATAATGCAAAACTATTTACCTGCCAATTGCTGCATCGTTGATTTAGTAATAAACGTGAAACTGATGTGAATTTCTCACTCAGAACAAATGAAATTCAAATCCACCTTGATATCACAAGCCAATTTAAACAATAACAACAACAAAAAACTGCTTTGAGGTCAAATTGCGGCGACTTTTAATCATTCGAAAAAACAAATTAATCGGTCTCGTTCGGCACACAACTTCATATTTGCTGTTTTGCGGAACCGAAGCTGGTTGGTGACCTCAGATGACCCCCCGGTTTTGTCTGTTCGATGTTCCGTATCGCGTTTCGCGATCATTTCCCACTCGTGCCCATCTCTGACCATCTGATTGACCGGTGCGTTTTCAGTCCCTCTTTGTTTATCTCTCTCTTTCTCACTGTGTTGCGATATTCGGGAAGGGAATGATTGAAACAAAGGCTGAGTGCTCGTGCACGGAAATGCGTTGAACACTCTCTCCACCTGGATGCATACATGTATCGGCGGGTTATCGAAACGGCATGGTCAACTAATGGTATATTTACATGCACATCATCGACCCGTGTTTTGTACAATTATTCATTTGTTCTTTTTTGTTCGTATGCGTTGAAGATAAACGGATTTTCCAAAAAATATTCATCCTAAAACCACAACTCTTTTGTGGGGAAAAACATTGAGAGTTCAATTGTCGCCAGCAATGTGAGACAAGATTAGTGCAGAAATATTCCAAATACGTGAAAATGTGATTTTGTTTTACACCAAAACGATTACAGATATCCTGGGAATCTTTTTCGGGGGGTGGGGTGACTCTTCAGTGACATACCGCGTACTTTCATTCGAAACAATTGTGCTTGTCATTTTCACATTTCCAGATGGAGCCTGTCCAAATGGTGGTCTTACCTCATCGTCTGATTGGCCAACTTTCACACCAAGTCATCGGGTGAGCGTTGAATCACGTGCTATTCTCGTGTTGGGCTACACGCTTTGATTGTGGACACACAATTGCATTTTCCGTGAAATTCAAAGCACAGATTAAGGCAGTTTTCTACGTTTTCCAAAGATAAATTATTGCTTTATTTCAGATCGTGAAATATTTCCATTGATATATACAAACGAAGTGAAAACGCGCGGAAATTTCTTTTTCATTTATCGCTTCAGGGATTCACAGATATATAATTCGATTAGTGCATAGATTGATACGGATCCCAAGCTGGTGTTGAACGTGTGTGTGTGTATGTGGGCAAATAGATAGGGGTGTTGGAAAACAAAGTAAAAATGTGTGAAGTGGGAACGATATGAAAGGTGTTAGTTAAGAATGAGTGGCATAGTTGTTGTGAAAGTGTGAGAAAAAGACAGCGAATGAGGGGGGGGATGAAACAAGTGTCAAGTAGACATGTATGGCAATCATTCCTATGGTCATGGTAACAGCACCACTTGAACCAGATTGCGTTGTTTGCTCTATTCCGGTTTCACAATCCTAATTGCTATAGATTCTTCTTACTCAATCCTTTGGTGTGTCAACCTTGAGTGTTGTGAAGAAGCTTGCAAATAATGTTTCTGGGTCAATCCTGTATCCGCTGTGGATCAAATGTTGCAGAATTGAGCTGTTCAAGCTTCTCACTTCGTTTCCGAAGAGCAACCGGACAATGTTCAGATATGTTCTTGGGAAAACGCCTTGTTGTGTGCCCAATATAGCAAAGCACCACAAGTGCACATACGCTGATAAAGAACAAAAGATTGGGACCGAAGAGACAATTTATCTCCAAAGCTGGTGAACAATGAACAGTTTAGTCCTGGATGAAAGTTTTAAATGTGTCTCGGGAATACAGTTAGCAATGGTTTTTTCTAGCCGATGGGCCGAGGTTTCTAATGCCCTGTCTCCATTGAAAGGACTATTCACGAACACCTGCTTCTTTCCAGCCGGTTGTGCTTTAAATTCGTTTGAGTTCGATTCTATGGTTGTCGTCGAACGAACGTCTCTGAGTTGCCGTTTCTCTGAAAAAAATATCCCATTTCTGCTCTGTGGTCTTCACTGAGGCTCTGAATGTGCTCTGTGTGATTAGTTAGTTTGAGATGTATATCACGTGACATTTTTCATGTTTAGTTTTGCTCCACTAAAAGGCTCATAACTCGAGCAACCTGAACTCGGACTCCAGTGACTCTTGTTACGCGTCTGTTGAAGCATGTTTCAGGTTGATCCTACATCCTAGATCTTAGGTCCGGAGTGATTCCTGTAAATTTTCTACCCACGCAAATAGGGCCAAAGATGCGGTCATCATGATCAATATGTACATGTATTTGTTTTTCTGACGGAATAACTCCTGACAAATTACCTTTCAATTCCATTCCCGATGTCCGGATCGAAAATTCAAAACAATGATTGAAGTCGGTCAGTTCGGTGAAGTCAGAACCGAGATTCTCGTACAATTTTCCAACCAAGCGAATTCTCCTGATGCGGGACACAAAAGACCGTTACCAACGCGGTAAGCTAATTATTGTTGTTTTCCTTCATGCATCAGTGCCCAGTTCTGTGCACCACTTCGTCCCAGTGCTACTTGTTCTGTCCGCAAGCGAAACCATTTTCAAGCTTTTATCAGGGTCAATTTCACAGGAATCTATGAAATGAGATGGGCATTGTGGATACAATCGATTGTTTATTCGCCAAAATCATGTTCTTAATTAGCTTTTACCACACTGTAAGCAGTCTGACGCAATACAAAGAGGCACTCGGTGAGCGGTGATCAGGTGAGACCATTAGGATTGGTTGCATCGAACCCTCGGTCACTATAGTACATAATCTGATACAAGGACGACAACAATGTATGAATGCCTGACAGTTTGAGTCAATTCCACGAGCGAGAGATGCCCAGAAAAGATACCCTCGGTTTTAACTAGGTGGGAGAGAGGTACTGATGTGCTAAACGAACTATGATGGGAAAGGAGGAAGGTGCGACGACCGACCAGGGCAACATGTATCGCATCACAACTGGATGAAGGGCTCTTATTTACTACTATTACTGATCACTTTCAAGTAATCTAACATGCGTCAACTTTGGGGTCATCAGGGGTCTGTCTTGTTGACAAGATGAGCGGAATCTAGAAAATAACGTGCAATAGAGCTCGATGGTAGTTTTTCACTGCGAAGATCAAGATTATATACATATACAATCGTCAGACTCATCATTACCATAAGGATAAACTTTCGAAAAGTTAAACAACAACTACTTATCACTATCTTTCAGTCGATAGCATTTAGCAGAATCAATAGGTGAGTCAACTGTCAAAAGAACACTGCTGTCGGTATGGCCTCGTAGCACAGCTGATAGTGCGTGTGCAGTACAATCGTGTTGGCGGCGTCCATGCGTGGGTTCGAATCTCACCGAGGCTACTGAACTTCTCACAACTTGAACATAAGACTGCCAAAGAACCATTTGAACGACGCTTACAGTGTCCGTTGTTGTGCATGGCCTATAAACATAAATACAATCCATATATTATTTAGTCGGTGCCATTCCGAATATTGTTGTTTTCATGAACCAAAGACTCATGGGGAGTAAATTTGGGCACTCCCGATCTATCCCATTGAAATTCTCTTCAATCTTTTGCTCGAAAAGTAACTCCAGGCGTTTATTTACTTCAGAAATTTAGCTAAGAAGATAAGTGAAAACTCCGGATCGTTTGGGTCTCGGCTTTTCCGAATTCTTCCCACATTACTTACTCCCAAACAGTTTGAGTAGTTATTCAATTTTATTCCATCCTGGAGTCGGTAAACCTATTAGCATGTCACTGTTTCACTTCCAGACACTCTTAAATGGAACTTATTTGGTACACAAAAGATGTGAAACTGGTAGATAAAGACCACGCGGACTACCCAAGTTTCACCTGTTTTAACTTGAGCAGCACAATAAACTTAAATGTATCCAATTCCCAACTAACGGACCCGAACCAATGCACTGTGGTCTCATCAGTCTTTGCATCTGTAACGAGAACACTTCACTGCATATGTGGTTATAACTGTACAGTACGCTTGAAGGCTCATTAGTCTCTATTTCTTGAGAGTATTGGAGGATTTTATTTTGCTTATATGGTGAAATCGTCTTGTAAATCTGGCGTGAGCTGAGCTGAGCTGGAAAGCACTGACCAGCTGTTTTGACCTGCTCAGTTTTCATCAGTAGCAGTGAGTGAATTCATCGACCCAACTGGGGATCAGGAACCCGGGACCTCATCTCTAATAAAACTCAAGCATACCCATACCCACTGGGCAGCCGGGCAGCTGATCAGACCGTTTCTCATTTTGAATATACACGATATAGCACAACCTAGCTAAGCGAGTTTGTTGCGAGTATCGACCCTCACTCATCTCAGCAAAGTCTTCCAGCTGTTCATTGCTTCCCTAGCTTTTCAGCTCACACCTCATTTACACAACGAATGCCTTCATGTGAACAAATCCTTATTTACTTGATATTAAAAACTGAAATACCCCGGAAATTCTATCAGTAATCATTACAGCACTAACTATGTGGCAGACAAAATATGACTTCCGTCCTGATTGAAAAGAGTCAACGAGTGTTACGTAATTACACTGTGCATGAAGACTTGAACTGTTTGGTTGTGCTTGCAACGCGGGTTTATTGTTTCACCGATAGCTGATATGAATATCCGAATCCCATCACAAAATTAGTCATTGAGTATCGGTTGGAATAATACAGTTGAAAACCCCATGCTATCCAGCGACTGCAACATGTATAACAAGGTGTTAGGGGTTTACTGGCCCAGGCTTGTTAGTGTATTGACTTTTTATACAGTTCGTATTCCTATAGAATAATTCGAATAATTAAAGAACATTCAAAAAGACAAAAAGTCCTTCTGATCTGTTAAAAACTAAAGTACAGTGATAAATTTCTCACGCAAAAGAGATCATCAGTATCCCAAAATGCTGTTATCAGCAAATGCAGGTATTGGTCAAACTGGTGCTTACTTCAATCTGGTCGCTTCTCTTTCTCTTGGTTCATCTCTTGATGGAGAAATTCCGATGACTGTGAAATAAACTGGGCTTTTGTTCCAACCAAAACAATTGTGCAAGTCAGGGACTGAGTCTTCAAATTTATGCGTCTCTTGAATAACTTGCCCCTCGGCTTCGATTATGTGCCAAAATCCTCTGAATGTTTCATATGGTTTGTGCATGATGACACTACATAGCACTAAGTCAACGAGTCGCACACCTCAAGGTCAATTACCGAAGATCAACTTTGATCTTGTTTAGAATCTATTAGGGATAATACATGAGTATTCTGTAGCCAAATAAATTATCAATTTGTTTGGGCTAGAAAATTTTCATTAATTGGCTTATTTATTGCGTACCGAATGAAGACAGATAAGCTATTTAGAATACGTGTGTTCAACCTAATAAACAGTCTCATGAAACAATTGAAAGACGGTACCGCAAGCAAATCTAACAAAAGCAATGTAGGCTGAAGAGAGGGCATCCCGTGACGTTGATGTGAGCCCAATCACCGTGTTTGGTCCAACTCGACGCAGATATTGTAAAGCTGTATAAAATTAGAATCGTTTGAATACGCTGATTACAAAATACAAATTTCTCCCCACACAAATGCACACACAAGCACTCGCATCCAGTGTTACCCTGAGTATTATCTTTGAAACCATACGATTGCCTATTTGTTGTGTCCCATTTGAGTGGTTGAATAACCACGCAGCAAATTAGGGAGTACGTTTATTTGCAGTCTGTACACGGACGTATGTGGTCTTTAGGGCCATGTGCAATTCCGGGCGTTAATACGTTAGGAAGCGGGTAAGCAGGCAGACAGATAACAGGCGCAGGCACAACATGGTATCAGAAAGCGCTTAAACAAAGCGCTTAGACGGTCAACGAAGCAGTCAGCTTGGATAGTTCCACGCTAACATGTGATTGGCTGGAGCGGATCAACATTATAATGCGGTAAGTTCGCATGGCGTGCGTACATGTGTATGGTAGCAGGCAGCCTTGACCAATCACTCAATAATGTCATACGCATGTGCATGCATGATAAACGAATCCGTCAACTGTAACCCCTAAAACCAGGGGTTTCGTATTAGCGTACCGCTTAGTCCATGATCTATCGAAATATACGGAATTTATCGTTACTTCATTATTGACAAATTAAACAAAAATGAGGCGGGAAATTGGGAGTAGGATTCATTGTTCAATTAAACAAACAGATTTGATGAAACATGTACAGAAAAGGGGTTCAGCTTTCCAGTGTGCAGGAACTGCGCAGTTGCCTACTCTTTCTCTGATTCGCTTAGTTTATAAAAGTTTGGGAGTAATAGCTAGTGGAAGTAATGAAATCTTATCAACTACACGGTTTAAGAAAACTGCAATAAACTTTCGCCATAGACGATAAGAAGCGATTCATGGTTACCAGTTCAAACAACACATATCAACTGCTAGACCGAAGTCTATTAGAAGTAAAATTTATGTTGAGAAAAAGCAATGCTAGTACATTATTTTAAATATTTTAGATTAGAAAACCAATCTTGTACGACGAGAACGGGTGGTGTTAGCGCAGTGGTTTAGTCGCTATTACCGGTGAACTTTGAGCCCCATGGTCTGAGGTTCTAGCCTTACCATGGCCACCAAACTTTGATGGTAGGCGGTTTTACTTTCGTCCAATTCAATACCACGCCTAACCTAGGGGAGCTTTCGCGCCTTACCACTCCAAGTCCCGGAGCTTAGAGTACCCGGTTTCTGTCATTGACTATTTTCAACACACAAAGGTGTGTAATAAAGAAATCTAAAATGCATTTTAATTTCAATATACAATCACATGTATCAATCGGTGTTTGAACAATCTCTCTTTCACGCAGATAATGGCATCGGGATGCGCATTGTTGGCGGACACATTCGATCGGATGGAAAACTAGGTGCTTTTGTGGAAGAGATCTATCCACGAGGACCGGCAGACCAGCTTCATGGAGAAATCAGAGAAGGTTAGTAGTGCGGGGG